TGGCCCATTTTGAGTTAATTTTTTCAATGTGGTATAGGGAGGAGGTCCAATTTCATTCTGTGCTATGGCTATCTAGTTGTCTCAGCACCATTTTTATTTTTATTTTGTTTGTCAACACCATTTATTTATAAGACTATTCTTTCCCCACTGGATTACTTTGGCATCCTAGTTGAAAAGCAGTCGATCATAAATATGAGGATTTATTTTGAGACTTTCAATTCTATATGGTGAATTTCTTTGTATCTACACCTTCTTACTCAAAGTTGTTTTCTTTGCCTTCTCATTTTGTGAACATGGATATTTCTGTGGTCTCTCAGATTTTGTACAAATTAAACACTGGCCAGAAAGTGATAGAAGCTGAACACTTTTCATCATCCCAGGGACAATCTGATAGAGGGTAGAACAGCCCGGCAGCTGCTCTCCCTTCAACCAGTGCTGGTTTTATCATGTGCTGTGCAACATTCTAGCTGGGAAATGCACCCTTTGCTGCTGTATGGAACATTTTCAGTAAAGTCATTACTTTGTTGACAGAGAATTCCTAGAAGAGTCAGAACACCTATCCCCACATCAAGTTCTCTTTAGTTTGGCTATGTTTGGATGTCCATCACTTAGAATATATTCACCTTTGGTTCTTAGGGCGAAGGAACGTTGGGGGGGTAGAGGCAGCCATCGTAGGTAGTGTTTGAGGAAAGAAGCAGGTGATGGAGGGACCTCCATGTAGTGCCCTCCCAATGTAGGAGCTGAACCTGCAGAGGAGGGCGGGCCACATTATGTAAACTCTGGGAGGCCACAGTGTGTCTGGGTTTATCCCAAGTTCAATGGGATGTCTTGTAAAAGTTTACAATGATCTAAACCACCTTTTAAAGTATCAACTTGGCTGTTCTAGGGAGAGTAGATTAGAGACAGTCTCTCAAGAGGATGGTGATTGAATATAAAATATTCAAACACCTTCTTTTCAGACAGACTTACTGATATTTAATGGCATGATAGGCTCTTGCAGTGGGCATCTCATGACGAATGTCCTCTGACTGTGGGTATAATGGCCTGTTCTGGCTAGGACAGTGTAGGATGGGCATTTCTCCTTCCTTGTTTCTTTGACAGTAGAGATGCTTCCTGAAGACTTTCAGAATTGGTTTACAACAAATCTTGTGACATCATCAGGCCAAGAGCATTATGCCAGGACCCAAGAGCAGTCCTACATTTCACAGACCTTTGATTTCTCTAGGAAATGGAATACACACTCAAATAGACTGGCCATACATGAGCTAGCTATGAATTTGTGGGGGCTACCTTGGACCCTCCAGGTACCCAGAGCCTGTGAGTGAGCATGCAGGGATGAAACCTACTTTCCTTCTCTCTACACTTGAACTCCTGCAAGCATACACATGCGCACCTGCCCTCACCCTAGTACTTGGCTGAAACACTACTAGCTACTCAAGAGGGATCACATCCAATGCTCACATGTCTTTTCATCCCTGTGGCCTTTCGAGTGCCTGGCACAGAGCTGGTACTAAATGCAGATTGCTGAATCGATTGCAGTGTGCAGGAATCTGGTCATTGTGTGCTACAAGCATGTACTAACAAACAACAACACCAACAACAACTGAAAATAAAATAGCTATGGAGCTGTGAAAAGACATGGAAGAAACTTATGGAGTGAAAGAAGCCAATCTGAAGCTGGATGTGGTGACACAGGCCTGTAACCCCACTATCTAGGAGGCTTAGGCAGGAAGATCATTGTGAGTTTGAAGTCAGCCTAGGATACAGTGAGTTCAAGACTAGCCTGAAAACAGTGAGACCTTGTCTAAAAAAAATAAAAGTCCAATTTATTTTTTAAAAAAAGGCCAATCTGAAAGTCAAGTTCTAAAGACCTGTATTTTTCTTTTAATCAAAAGAGAAAAAGGATTAAGGCTATTAATTTTAGAAAAAATTAACTCAGAGAGAGACTATAAAGGAATTTGCGTGCATTGTGTGCCAGGCAGTGAAACCTAATATCTCAGATGCACGTTACAGTGTTGCTCCCTGAGGGAATCACATATGCCCAGCTATGGGAATGGACGGGACTGTGTTAGAGTCCTGAGCTGCCCATCTCCAGCGTCTATGCTCTTTCCACATCACAAAAAGCTACAAAAATCTACATCCGGAATATGGTATCTTCAGCATTAAAAAGAAATTAACAGAAAGAGCAAAATAAAAGATAGATAATAGGAAAAGAGGAGATTGATCTTTTGTAATGGGAAGAGGACCAGGTGATAGATGGAGGGGAGAAGAGGTTGAAAAAAACAATTTAGATACGTTATGTACATCTACCAACTCCCCACAAGAAATGTGATCATTGCGTACTGCGAGCAGGTGCTTACAGAAACTGAAGAGGAAAGAAAAGAGTTACCAAGCCATGAAAAGACTTGAAAGGAACTTAAATGTGCCTTGTAAAGTGAAAGAAGCCAGTCTGAGTAAACCCAGCATTGAAAGGCTGAAGCAGGAGGATTGCTGCAAGTTCAAGGCTAGCCTAGGATACATAGTGAGTTCAAGACCAGCCTGAACTACATAGTGAGACCCTGTCTCAAAAAAACAAAAATCAAAACCAATAAATAAATAAAGCAACAACAAAAAAGAAACCAATCTGGAAGTCTACATTCTATGATTCCAACCACATGACATCCTGGAGAAAGCAAAGCTATGGGGACAGTAGCAAGATCAGGCTGCCAGGAGATGGGAAGAGTGAGGGATGAACAGGGAGAGCAGTTTTTGTGGCAGTGAAAACACCCAGTGTGACTCTAGTGTGATGGATATGACAGCGCCATCATTTATTTGTCCAAACTCTTGTAATAAAAAAACACCCGGAGGGAGCTCAAATATAATCCAGGGACTTTGGGCTCTATAGGCGTGGCTGTGTAAGCTCATCAAATGTAACAAGTGTGCCCTCTTGTGGAGGGATATTGTTGATGAGGGAGTCTGTGTGTGTGTGTGTGTGTGTGTGTGTGTGTGTGTGTGTGTGTGTTGTTACAGGGAGGAAATGGGAAATCTCTGCACTTTTCATTCCATTTTTATTGTGAACCTAAAATTATTTATTAAAATAAAATTTATTGCTGAGCTTGGTAGTGTACACCTATAACCCCAGCATCTGGGAAGATGAGGCAGGAGGATCACAGGTTTGAGACCAGCCTGGGCAATTTAGTTACTTGTGATGGTACATGCCTGTAATCCCCAACAATTGGGAGGCTGAGGAAGGAGGATCACCATGAGTTCAAGGTCAGCCTGGGCTACATAGTGAGTTTACAAAGTGATTTCCTGTCTCAAAAAAAAAAAAAAAAAAAAAAAAAATATTTTAAAAAGCCATGGGAGGCTGAGGAAGGAGGATCACCATGAGTTCAAGGTCAGCCTGGGCTACATAGTGAGTTTACAAAGTGATTTCCTGTCTCAAAAAAAAAAAAAAAAAAGAATAAAATATTTTAAAAGGCCAGGAATGTACTTCAGTGCAAAGGCCCAGGTTCAGTTCTCAGAACTGCAAAGCTCGGTAAGAAACAAGAGCTGATTTGGGAAGAAGACACTGACTGCTAAGCTGGGAAACCTCTTCCCTCCTGGACCAGTTTTTCTGCTCTGCCTGGTTCTCTGCATCAGTTTTCAGGCTGGGCAAACTCGAGCTGAATGAGTCTTCTGAATGTGCCTTGACAGAATTATGGCTCTGGGTTCCGACGCTTCACCCCTGACAAGTGTAAGGGATGTTTTCAGTTGGCCATCATTTGTAGAACAGGAAGGTATGGCATGACAGGGTCCACTGCCCATAGCCCACCTGGATGCTGGGTCCACTGCAGCACCTTCATCCTCCTCCTGCAAGGTGTCTTGAGTTGTCCCTGAAGCATCACCTGCCTCAGTCTGCCTTGCTATCCCTCCCACTTGCCTCCACCGTGGAAAGGGGGACACTTAAAAAAATCGTAGATTAAAAAAAAATCCACTTTATATTAGAAATACATTTTATAATATAAAATAAATTTTAAAATGACAAAGCATAGGATTTTAGAGGCAAAAAAAACACACACACACACACTTTATTCTAAAATCTCCCCTTTTCCTGCAACAGAGAAAGTAAGTTTGGCTCTTAAAGTGGACTCTAGCATGTCACCAGGGAAGAGCTGTTGGCTTTCCCAGACAGGAGTCTCAGCCCCTTCTCTTCGCCTTCTGTCCTTCTCTTCCCCTTCCCCAACTTGCCCCTAGGCAAAGTTGCTGGCAGCTATCCCTCCAGAGGTGCACTTTGTTCCTGGGCCTTTGGAAGGCATAGCTCCCTCTCCACAGGGTTCAATCACCTGAGGTGTACACTGACTGCCTTCGCCACAGGATCATGCTGGGATTAAGGAGGAGGGCTTTCTCACAGGTACTGCAGGACATCCAGGGAGTCTTGCTACAGGTGTGACCAGGGGAGACTAAGAGCTGTGTCTGGAGGCCATCATGGGGTGAGGTGACTGAGAAGGGGGCTGAGCAAGAGTAGGAAGAGGAGACTGGGCTGATCAGGGGCTGGTCCCTCATTTAGAGGCAAGGGAAGAAGGAACCCATCAGAGATTGAAGAGTGCCAGAGAGGTGCAGGGAGCCAGGAATACAGAATCAAGTCCAGGAACGCAAGTGTCCCTCGGTGTTAGCACAGAGACAGCCATTTTTGGTGTGTTGAACCTCAGAGTTCTCTCTCAAATACTATCTCTCACACTGGGATGTAAGCACTGACTACCCTTCACAAGAAGTGGACAAGACCGTGTTGTAGGCATACCTTGAGATCCATGATTTAAAGACAAGCTTATGAACCTGGGTTCTGTCTAATTAAAACCTTTCAGCTTTGAAATAAGAAATAAAAATGATTGGGGGGGAAATGCACTTCTAGTTCTATCATCTCTTCTTATTTTAGTCCAGTTAACTTCAAGCAGCTGTGTTGGGTAAGCCTTTCTTGAAGTATTTGAAAGGATGAACGTCTGACAATGGCACTTACTTCAAATTTCCCACAACATTAACAGGCTTCCTCTTTCCTGGCACTGCTGCTGCTGCTTGCGGGGGGAATGTTCTCATCTGCTCCACCCTCCTGGCCATTGGACAAGGTTTTCCAGTATATTGATCTCCACCAGGATGAATTTGTACAGGTAGGACAAACTGTGTATGCACACTTGGGTTATGACCTAGGGTCTGGTGAAATCATTTATTTGCTAGGAGATGTGGGTCTATGTGCCTGACATGATTCCATTTAAAATACCTGTGATTCCTCATTGAATGAAAAAAATTTCTCTTCATTAGCTCTGTGAAATAGATTCCTCCTACGCACTCCTCCTAGAAAGGGCACTGTTTATCCATTCCCAGTACATTTGATCTAGGACTGTCCACTTAGAGATGACTAGCACCTGTGGAACTCACATTTATTCTGGCCCATCAGGTGGCTCCTGCTGAGTTCTGGACAGAGCTGGGGAGCTGAAGAGCTGAAAAGTTAATGCCAACATTGTGTGTTTACAGCACACATCCAATGGACACTTGGTCTCCTCCTTTATGATCCTCTGCCTCCTTTCCAACTCACTATATGGCTATTGGCCCATAGTGTGGGTATTCAGGGAGAGGGAAGAAGGGAGCCAATGAGGAAGGGAAAGGAAAGGAGGCCTGGGAGCAGAAAGGGACAGGGATGTGCAAGTGGGAAGGCACAGGTGCCTGTGGTACTTTACCACTTCCATTCAGCTCCCTTGTCCCCTCTGAGGGCACCTTGATCCATGACCACAGCTCACTGAATTTTGTACTGCAAGTCCTCGCTCACACTGTCTAGTACATGGTAAGTATTAACACATGTTCATTGGGTTCAGTCAACCAATTTTAGGAATACGATCATGCAAACAATTAGATGTGAAATTTTCACGCTTCACCCTCAAGGCCCAAAGCTGAATGTCCAGGCCACTGTTCCTAAGCTTGATCTCTATGTAATTCTTCTTACTGCTGGAATATTAACCTGACATAGAAGCCTCTTGAGTTCTCACAACTTGAGTGTGCTTCTGTAAGTGGTTGCAATTAACAAGGGGTTGAAAAATGATCCCTTGTGGAGATCAAGTGCTGATTTTGGCTTTTAGCCAAAATACCTCCTCTTCCCAAACTCCTTAAACACACTCAGGCCACTCAGTTTTGGGAGCACTGTGCAGCATTGTTTTATAAATTCTAGTTGGAAAATATAAGACACAATTTTCCTTAAATAAATTCGCCTATAATAAAAGTACTAAAATCAAGAGAAAAAGATAAAACTAAAATAAACTAGGGCTGGGTGTGATGGTACAGTCTTATAAACTCAGCTACTAGGGAAGCTGAGGATCAGGGGTTTGAGACCAGCCTAGGAAACTCAGTGATACCTCTCAAAAAAAAAATTAGGAAGTTAAGATCGGCTATCCAAAATATGTATAATTTTTCTCAGTTCCCAGTATAAGACATTGAGTTTCCAATACTGAAATATGAATGATTATTTGTAATTATTGCTGAGAATTCCCACTCCATTGGCAATATACAGCACTTACTAATTAGTATATTAATACATTCTCTAACAATGAAATCATGCCATTATTGTGTAAGGTCTATTTGTTCATGGTATAATCTTTTATTAGTAGCAATGTTTGAAAAGATTACACTTAAAGTTTAAAAATTTTTTTGATAAGTGGAAGTTTTTAAAGTATTTATAGCAATCTTTGTAAGACTTGATAAATCATTTAGAAGTGTCATTCTTCAGTATTTTGTGTGGCCTGAGTAGTGTTAATGTGAGATTTGAGAATAGTAGAAAGTGAGATGAACCGTATCGTGTGGTGGTTTGCAAAGGAGCTATTTTATGAATATTTCTGGGCTTCTTCAGTCAATTATTTGTACTCTCTTATTGGTGGTGCCAGGCACCACGTGAAGCCCTAACGTACACTCGCAGTTCATGGCCATCATCCCCCGCGAGTTAGGGAACATCACTCTCCTATAAATGAGGCCGGGAGGTCAAGGACTATACTCAAACTGTAACTGGCTGAGTAGGCTTAGGAGCTAAGACTGAGTTTAAGGCCAGACCTCATTGCCTACTGGGCTTGAAGGTACAGGAAGGGGCTATCACATTCTCCAGGCTGTGCTGCCTCGTTTTCTTTACTAACCAGATACCTTTGGACTCTGGGTTCTTCATTAAACACCCAACTCATCTGTCAGTTCCTCCTGAATGTCGCTGTGTTTACTAGCAGTCTGCAGGGCTCCACCAACCGAAGATTATTTGGGTACTTCTGTTCTCTGCTCTCACACTGCCCCCACTCAGATGGATGTGAGCCACTTCCCCAACCATACTAACGCCCTCTTGCCTTATCTTGCAGGCACTCAAGGAGTGGGTGGCCGTCGAGAGTGACTCAGTTCAACCCATGCCTCGTTTTAGACAAGAACTCTTCCGGATGATGGCTATGGCTGCAGACAAGCTCCAGAGCCTGGGAGCTGAAGTGGATTCTGTGGACTTGGGTTCTCAGCAGGTGCTGGCAGATCTCCCTCCAGCTAGGAAGTTGCTCCGTCTGTGGCCATGAGCCATGCCTTCCTTTGATGGTGGCAAGAGTGAGGCTTACCTTGATCCTTGCCCAAAGCTCCACCCTCAGTGTCCTAGGAGCCAATAAGGCTGAAACATTCCACCTAGTCCCAGATGAGACTACATCTAGTCATAGGAGGGCTGAAGGAGGTATCATATAGGAATGGAGGAGGGGAGTGAAGATCGGCTTGTTATGGAAAGATCTTCCTTCCTTATTCTCTGTTCACTTCCTGCACACGATTCACATTCTCCCCAATTATCCTTTCCTTTAAATTCATGTGCATCTTTCTTGAAGGCCAAAGTATATAGCTGCATTCTTTCATCAGAATCATTGGTCAGAACTGCCACTCCATCAGGAATGGTAACCTTAAATCTATTGGTTTTTTGTTTGTTTGTTTTTGTACCAGGAATTGAACTAAGGACCTTGCACTTGAGAGGCAGGCACGGCGTCACTGAGCAAAATCCACTGCAGTAATCCTCAAACTAGATGCCCAGTGACACCTTCTTTAGTACTGAGAACTTCAGATAATCTAATTTGTCCAGGATTCTGTCTGCCTACTTCTTATTGAAAAGTGCATCTTACTAACTACACTATTTGACAATTACTTTTAGTTGTGTTTTATGTTTGTCTAAATTTTTTTCATGATACCATTTTAGAGATGGAGAGTGATCCTCAGAACAAAGACATAGGCTTTACAGCAGAAGTTCCCAACCCCCAGGCCATGGACCAGTTCCAATCTGTGGCCAGTTAGGACCTGAGCTGCGCAGCAGGTGTGGGACAGTGGGTGAGCCAGTGAAGCTTCATCTGTATTCCACTCTGCATCATTTGCAATACTCCCTGAGCTCCATCTCTCACTGGGTCAGCAAGAGCATTGAATTTTCATAGGAATGCAAATACTAGTGTGAACTGCACATGCCAGGGATCTGGTTTGCATGCTCCTTATTAGAATCTAATGCCGTGGTGATGCTAGTACGGTGGAATGGCTGCAAATAATGCTTAACATAGACAGGTTTGACTGCCCAGAGGCCATAATAAATCAATACCTAGCAGAATCAGATCAAAACCCTATCAGTGAGTGGCAAGTAGCAAGCCACATCTTGTGACAAGTTTAACAGTGGCAAGTGAGTTGATGTGACCATCTAGTTGTAGAAAGACAAACTCAGAACTCCCACTTATTCTGCACTATGGTAAGCTGTATAATTATTTCATTACATATTACACTGCAAAAATAATAGAAGTAAATGTAATACACTCGAGTCATCCCAAAACCATTCCCCAACCCATCTGTGGAAAAACTGTCTTCCACAAAACTATCCCCAGTCCCCAAAATAGTTGGAGACCACTGCTTTACAGGGACTGAGGAACAGAATATACACAATTCTTAATTTCATAATTCTGAATTTTCTGGAAAAACAATGCAAGGTTTGTTTTTTGTGTATTTTTTAATACTATGATTCATTATTCTCCTGCAGATGCCTGATGGCCAGAGTCTTCCCATACCTCCCATCATACTGGCTCATCTGGGGAATGATCCAAAGAAACCCACTGTGTGCTTCTATGGGCACCTGGATGTGCAGCCTGCTCAACAGGGTGACGGGTGGCTCACTAATCCTTACACACTGACGGAGGTGGATGGTCAGTGATATGCTGTTTCCTCTGTGCTCTTCTCATCTGCAGACAGGGCTTTCTCACAAGGTTTAAGATTTAAGGTGTGATCCTACGCAAGCTCCAGGTCTTCAATGGTCAGTAAGGACAACGAGAAGGGCTGTTTTCCTAGTCTACAAATTGGTTATTGAGGTTGAATTACTTTTCCTTATGAAACTACAAAACTTTGTACCCCTATATAGGGGCTCTCAGGCACCGGAGTCCAAATTTTTCTTTTTAAAAATGCCAAATATAATTTGTATTTTATAGGAAAAGGAGAAGAAAAGTTAATATATATATCTCATTTTGCCAATTGTAAAATCTCAAAATGAGAGACTGTCGTACATGTTCTACAACATGGGGGCCGGAGATTTAGCTCAGCGGTTCAGTGGCCTGCCTTGCAAGTGCGAGGACCCAAGTTCAATCCCCGGTACTGAAAAAAAAAAAAATCCTCAGGTTCCCCTCAATGAGCTTGGATAAAATAACTGACTACTGTGGAGGTCGATGGAATGTGTTTATTTCAAATTAGCCCATTTTATCTAGTTGGCTGTGGACCATACTATTTGTATGTAAGAAATCACACTTCGCAATTTTAGATCAAGATTTGTGCCTGGAACATTAAAAGTATTTCTAATAATATTATTGCCTATAAAAGGCATAGTTGTTTTTTTTTAAACAAATTCAACTTGCAGAGGGGTCCATACTTTTTTGAAAATTCCTCTTCTATTTTTAAAGGAAAGCTGTATGGACGAGGAGCAACTGACAACAAAGGCCCTGTCTTAGCTTGGATTAATGCTGTGAGCGCCTTCAGAGCCTTGGAGCAAGTAGGTGACCAACTGTGACTGGAGAGAGGGTGATGATGGTGATGATACCAATAATATAATCTGAGTTTCTTTGTCCCCACTAAATTGTTGCATGTTGTTTATTTCCCTCAATAACTTTTGGATGTGCATAGTGCAGTTATACCCCTTTAACCAATAAGAGTAAGGCTTGGGCTGGGGATTTAGCTCAGTGGTTCCACCACCTGCCTTGCAAGCTCAAGGACCCGAGTTTGATCCCTAGTACCAAAAAAAAAAAAAGTAAGGCTTGGGAAGATTATGGGAATCAGTTAAAGTAATCCAGTTAGCAAGTTAGCAAGACTTTGTCTCAAAATAAAAAAATAAAAATGAAATAATGAACTGTGAATATAGCTCAGCAGAGGCAGTGGGCTCAATCCCTAGTCTTATTGAGAAAAAGCATCCCCGTTAGCCCGTTAGTGGCAGTGACAATACCCTTAATATGGATTTCAGCCTACATTGGCAACCACTAAGCTGTGGCTAAGTTCTTATCTGCTGCAACTTGTTTTTGTTGTTTTGTTTTTTTCAGTTATTTTTATTAATACATGTTTGCAATACATCATGATCACGTTCTTCATGGGAATTTGGTAGATGTGCATATCACAATTATTTTCTCTTTCCTTCTCCTCCTTTCCCTTCCCTCTTCTTCAATCTCTTGGTCCTCTCCCCATTTGTGAAAGACCTGTCTCTCTATTTATTTTCTATTTTCTATTTTGTTCTTTATTATATAAGAGAAACCATGTACTATTTAAGCTCTTGTGTTTGATTTATTTCACTTAACATTATTGTCTCAAGATGTGTCCATTTTCTTATATAACTTAAGTTTATCTTTATGGCAGAGTAGTACTCCATTGTATATAAATACCACATTTTCTTTATCTAATCACCTGTTGATGGTCATACAGTCTTCTGCCAAGATTTAGCTATTATGAGTTGTGTTGCTATAAACACGGGTATGCCTGTATCACTGTAACATGATGTCTTTAATGCTTTTGGGAAAATACCTAGAAGGGGACTAGATGGCTTAAGTGGAATTTCCAGTTTTAGTTTTTTGCGGAATCTCTATGCTGGTTTCCATAGTGGTTGTACTAGTTTATATTGCCACCAACCAGGTAAAAGGGCTCTTCTTCCCTCTTACCAGCATTGTTATTTGATTTCTTTATGATAGCCACTCTTTCTAGAGTAAGATGGAATCTCAGTGTTGTTTTAATTTGCATTTCTCTGATGGCCAGAGAGGTGGAACATTTTTTCATGTATTTATTGACTATGTATACTTCTTCTGGGATGCATCTATTCATTTGTGTTGCTCATTTCTAGGGTCTTTTAATTTGAAGGCTCTCATTTTTTTTTTCCTCTTTTAGTTATTTATGTATTCTAGATGTTGGTCCTTTGGGAGGTAGCCAGCAAATTTTTTCTCATTCTGTAGATTGACTCTTTATTCTGTTGGTGTTCACTTTGCTGTATAAAAGCTTTTTAGTTTGATACAATCACATTTGTTGATTGTTGTTATTTCTTCTACAATTGGTATCCTGTTGAGAAAGTCCTTGCCTATGCCTATGTCTTCAGGAGTTGTACTTATTTTATCTTCCAGCAGATTGTTTCTGTTGCCACATTTAGATCGATTTTAGTTTAGTACAGACACTCCTCATTCAGTGACTGAGTTCTATTCCTTCAACTAGGTTGTTAATTAATTGGTCACTAAATGAAGAATTGTATATAGTATGTATATTACAATATTCATGACAAAGAAATGGTCAAAGGAAACTCCAACTTGACAATTTTGCATTTATTAGTATAACTCTCACATACAGTAATATAATATATAACAGAACATAAAAATGGTAGTACTTTACTGTACCAAGCAATCAACAAATATTACAGTACTATATAAATAAAGTGTATGGTATAAAAAAAAGTTACACTCTATAAATGAGATGTACAAAAGTGTACCAAAAAAGATGGGTGATAAGTCCAAATGACACATCATAAGTCCCAACAACATCTCAATCATAAGTGTGAAGAGTCATTAAACAGGTAAGTCATTAAATGAGGAGTATCTGTACATAATGAGAGATATAAATCTAAATTCAGTGTTCTGCATGTGAATAGCCAGTTTTCGCAGCACCATTTGCTAAAGAGGCGATCTTTTTTCTGGTATATGTTTTTAGCCCTCTGTCAAAGATCAGATGGTTGGATGTGCCTGAGGTTATTTTTGCATCCTCTATCCTGTTCTGTTAATACACATGTCTGTTTTTGTTCTAGTACCATACTGTTTTATTTCATAGTTTTGTAATATAACTTGAAATCTGGGATTGTGATTCCTCTTGCTTTGATTTTGTTATCCAGGATTGCCTTTGCTTTTCTCTGTCTCTTCTGGTTTCATTTGAATTTTAGGATTGTCTTCTCTAGTTCTGTGAGGAATGCTGTTGGTATTATGATTGGATTACATTACATTTGTACATTAGTTTTGGGAGTATGGAGATTTTGACAATATTGACTCTGCCTATCCAGGACCAGGGAATATCTTTCAATTTACTGATGCTCTCTTCATTCTCCCTTTTTAGAGTACTACAGTTTTCATTGAAGAGGTCTTCACTTCCTTGGTTAGCTTAAATCCTATGTATTTAAATTTTCTTGATGCTATTATGTATGGAATTATTTTCATAATTTATTTCTCATTGAGCTCATTATGTATGAACAGGAATGCTACTGATTTTTTTGTGTTGATTTTGTATCTTGCTACCTTACTGAATTTGGCTATTAATTCTAGGAGTCTTTTGATTGAATTTTTTGGGTCTTCTGTGTAGAGTATCTGCAAAGGGGATTGAGCTCAGGAATTTATGCTTGCGAAGCAGGCACTGGAAACTTCTTTCTTTCTTATTCATATCCTTTTCATTTCTCTCTCTTGCCTGATTGCTTTGGCTAAGGTATTGCATTACAATATCGAACCGGAGTGCTGATAGTGGACATTCTTATCGTGTTCCTGATTTTGGAAGAAAAACTTTCAAGTTTTTCTCTATTTAATATGATATTAGAAGTAGGTTTGTCATAATGGCTTTTATCAGATTGAGATAAAGTACTTATATATCTATTTTCTTCAGGGTTTTTATCATGGATTTTGTCATGGATTTTTCTGCATCTATTGATATGATCATTTGGTTTTGGTCCTTGAAATTGTTTATATGATGTACTACATTCATTTTTTTGCATATGTCAAACCATCCTTGAATCCCTGAGATAAGCTTAATTGGTCACGATGTATGACCTTTTTGATGATTTGTTGTTTTCTGCTTGCAAGTATCTTGTTGAAGAGTTTTGTGTCTTAGTTCATTAAAGAGATTGGCCTGTAGATTGGTTGGATCTCTGTCTGGTTTTGGAATCATGATTATGCTAGCTTCTAGGAATGACTTGGGAGTACTCCTTCTTTTTCAGTTTCATTAAAGAATTTGAGGAGTATTGCCATTAGATTTTTCCTGATGTTTTTATAGAACTCAGGAGTGAATCCTTAAGGCATGGGTTTTTATATTTTTTACTTGGTAGGTTTTTTGTTTTATTACTTCTATAATTTCCTTTCCTGATATTGGATATTTCAACATTTTTATATATTCTTGGTTCAATTTTGGTAATTCATAGGTATTCAGGAAGCTATCACTTTCTTCTACACCATCCAATTTATTGGAGTGCAGGTTTTTTAAATAGCTGCTAATATTCATCTAGATATTGGCAGTTTTCATGGTGATTTCACCTTTTTATTTCTAATTGTATTGATTTGTGTCTTTTTCTTTTTTTAGTAAGATTGGCTAAGAGTTTGTCTACTTTGTTCTTTCAAAAAACTAACTCTTCAATTCACTGAGTCTTTGTATTTTTTAATCCAATTTGATTATTTTCTCTGAGCTTTTTAATTGCTTTCATCATACTAAATTTGGATTTGGATTTCTCTTGTTTTTAATGGAACTTGAGTGCATCACTAGGGTATATATTTGGGTTTGCTCTGTTTTTCTGATGTAGGCATTTACAACTATAAACTTCCCCCTTAGCACTCCTTTTATTGTGTCCTGTAATTTCTGGCATGTTGTACTGACATTATCATTTGATTCTAGGAACTGTCTAATATCTACCTTGATTTCTTCTGTGATTCACTGATTATTCAAGAGTGTATTGTTTAATTTCCATGTGTTTGCATAATTATCGTGGTTTCTTTTGCCATTGTTTCTAGTTTCATTTTGCTATGATCTGATAATATGTATGGGAAAATTTTAATTCTTTTGCATTTCCTAAAGCAAGCTTTATGTGTTACTCTGTGGAACTTTGGACAAAGTTCCATGTGCTGCTGAGAGGAATGTGTATTTTGTCATTGTTGGTGGAATACTCTGTAGATATCTCTGAAGTCCATTTGTCCAAAGGTTTTGTTTAACTCATATTTCTTCATAGATTTTTTTTTTGTCTAGTTGATCTATTTGTGACAGTGGGGTATGGAGATTTCCCACTATAATTGTGTTAATGTTTATTTGATCTTTAATGTCCAGTGGTGTTTGTTTTATGAAGTTGTGTGTGTTCATGATTGATGCATGCATGATTACAATTGCTATCTCTTCCTACTGAATTATTTTGGCTGGAAATAGGATAGCTACTCCTGTTTCTTTTCAGGTTTCTGTTGCAGGGAATATTTTACATCTTTTGGGGGTTTTAGTCTATGAAGTTTTTTGGATTAAATGTGTTTCTTGTATACAGCCTACTATTTAAATTTCTTTCTTGGTTCACTCTTTCAATTTGTATTATTTGGTTAGGTAAATAGACCATTCACATTGAGAGTTATTACTGAAAAGTATTACTGTCTTTGCATTATTTTCCTCTTGCTGATTACCTTTTGTTCTTTTCTACTTAGCTTCTCCTCCTGCTTGGTAATTAATTCTATTAGATATTTGTTAACTTCTCTGTCTCTTTCTAGGATATCCTTCAGAATGTTTTTGGAGTGCTGGTTTGGTGGT